TAAAATGTTTGGATACCTTGTCTTCTTAACAGGAAGAAACTGGTAACAGTTGAGATGCACAGGACCTTAGTAAATGACTTTGCAGCCCATGGCTTGAACAAAACCAAACACTCATCTAGATTGGGTGTTCACAGAGCCATATAAAAGCAATTAACATTTATACCGTGTTTTAGCTAGTATTCAAAGAGCCTCAAACAATATCCATACACCGTCCTAGTCAAGTAGGTCAGTATAAATCTTCCCGTAGTACAGTTGGGAGCTGGTCTATAGTGGATTTCTGAAAGCAACCCAGTGTGTTTATCTCTGCATCCATAGCTTGTACCATTAACAACTATATTCCACCAGGAAAGTGTATCCTTTATGAGCATGACAGATAAATATGAAATATAGACATGTTTCTTCCAGATGCACTGTCAGATTGTATTCATGCAGCTTCCTCTTCTGATCATTTTATCAAAGAGTTATTCTATCTTTAGCATGTCAACAACTATCCCAGAGAAGAATTGTTCAGTGCTGTAAACTGCACCAGGAGGCAGAACTGCATTTTTTCATTCTCTCTCAGATAGATTTCTCCATGTTTTCTCAGATAAATCATACAGCAGTCTCTTAACTATTCAGGAAAAAGCAGTTTCTTTCCTCCTGTGAAATATTGCAGAACTCTTGGTGACTTCACCATCCATTTCAGAAGAGGCATGCAAATGCTTATTCACTGAACACATGACAGACAAGCACGCACCGTTAAGCTGGCACAAGCCTCTTCGTTGGGCAGGAAAACCTCAAGCATCCCAGGGAGATGGTATGCTATACAATTGCCCTGGCAAGTGCCCTTTTCTGCCTGGCGGATACTGATGAAGATCATAGGCATTTCCATGCTCCTTAGAGGTAGGGCAGGTTGCAATCTGCTCTTTAGGTTCCAGTCACAAAAGATGTAGAGTTTCCCAGTGCTTTAAATGCTTGTGTCCTAGGCTAGTTCACCATGAAACTGACCAGAAAGGAGGCGATCCTGGACTATTTAAGACTGAGTCCCAGGACCTAGAGCAAGATGCAAGTGTTGCTGAACTGATTGGGAACCATGACTAGAGTATTATCAAAATGTAATTGGTATTTAAGTAGAAAATTGCCAGTCTAGTACACTTGACTTCAAAAGAGGAATCTTCTCTAAAATGAGGGGACTTGTAAAAAGAAACTGAAAGGTAAAGTCAAGAAGGTCAGCTCTCTCCAGAATCCTTGTGGGTTACGCAAAACCACCATATATACTACAGGTTGGGAAAGGCAACAAGTCCAAAAGGTTAGTGGCTTGATACTGCTGACAAGTAGTATCAAAGAACTTATTAGAGAAAAGAAGGTTTCCTTCAGAAAATGGAAGTCTTTCCAAAATGAGGAGAGCAAACTTGCACAAAGGAAGGCAAGGAAACAATCAGGGATGCAAAAAAGGAATTCCGATTATCATTAAGATTAACTATAAAAATCTTTAAAATTCATCAATAGCAGGAAAAGGGCTATGGACCAGTTGGTCTGCTGGATGAGACCTGACTTAAAAGAGGACTGAATAAGCATTAGGGGATTGCCAGGAAGCTGTGAATTTTTTGAGTATGTTTTCATTGTAGAAGATGGAGGGCAGACACCTATGCCTGAAATGATCGTTTCAGGAAGACAGTCTGAAGAACTGGAGCAAGTACTGCTAGCACAGAGATCACACTGATACCTATCAAGCTTCCTTGTGCGTTTGTTTATGATTAGGAAAATGATCAGAACATATTTTAAAGGAATTCACGAAGGCACTTCAAATTTAATTTCCTAATGTTATGAAAGGATTTTTTAAATGCCATTTTTATGATCCAAGTTTGACATGCTTTGTTCTCTAACTTTAATTCCTGCTGTGAATTTCCTAATAAGCTAAATTTCATATTGGCATCCAGCTGTGTCTGTGTAGTGTCAACAAAATGATTATTCTGTAAAAGTGCCTTGGATATTGCCTGTTGGCTGCCATTCAAACGGCGGAAATAATGTGCAGCTTCTTGTGTGAATGCTTTATAACCTGTGAGTCCTCATTTGTGGAGTGGATTTGAGATCACAGGTCAGTCTGGATTTCTGGAAATATATGGTGTGCATTGATTTTAGAAATGTTTTTATTGAAATGAAAGAAGATTCACATACTGCTTGGATGTGCTTGGATTCCCCTGTTGTGGAGTGAGAAAAGCATGCTGTGCCCCTTAGAGAGGAAAAAAGCTGGTTCCATTGCCACTGCTGCTAAGCAGTTTCAGGCCCTGTCCACTTGTTTTCATGTGGACGTGGACCTTACGAGAAGAAACAATTAGGAGATGACTTCAATCTAACAGTAAGAGTGCTTCTGGGGACCACTGTGCCCATGGACATGTCGCTTGGCATTTTCCATGCTTAAAGGTTTTTGTTTTAACACTTCTACTAGGAATCTGGTATGTTGCAAAAAGCTGCCTTACAGCTGGATTCACAACAGTGATTTCATGTTTTAGAGCTCTGGGAACCCTCTGCCTTGTTCTTATTACATGATGTACCAAGCAGTTGGTATTCTTGTATGCTGACAGTGTAGGCTGACATTCTAGTTTAGACTCAGGATAAGTGAGTCAAATATTAGTTCTACTGGAATTAAGTTAATCATGGCTAGTTTGTTTCCCATTGGTTGGGACTATATATGATGGGACAGCAGGGCTAAGGTTGAAATCATGGACACATTTACCTGGAATAAGTCTCATTCAGGACCGTAAGTATTAAAGACACATAGGACTGCATTATAATTTTAAACTGGATCTAGCCCCCTGTTTTCAGCTATTGTGAATTCACTTTGAGACTTGCTTTTATGTCAACTTGTCACCACAGTTTTGTCACTCTGAGTGCATTTGTCTATTTTAGAGTGACAGGCTGTAGTTCTTTCACCCTTCCATTATAAATGTGGGGGCTAATTGTAATTTCCTTATGATCTTTTAGTGAAGTAAGTCCAGTGCTATTGATTTACTTGACTGAAAATTGTCTGTAGATGAAAAATGAGTGGCAGATACCATTGTGTTTATTACAGATTCATTATGTGATCCTAGTTAGTATTCTAGACAGGCTGCAGTAGTTCTTAGCTAGTCCATGCAAATAAAATAGACTAATTTGTAATGGAGTACAAAAACATGAGTCTCAGTAGAAAGACGAATAAGGATTGGCTTCATTTTGGCACAGTGACGTGGTCTTCCCTTGGTGCCGTGCTTTACCACAAGTGCTAAACGGGTGATAAAGGCAAAAAGGGGATGTTTCAGTGGTTTATCAGGAGATATTTTGGATCCACTGGTTCTAAAGCTCCCCTGGCCCCCTATTTGCAGACTGTAACATACCTGGAACCAACATAGTAATTTTCCCTCCTATTTTGAATCAGTTCAAATTTAAGAGGAGGCAAACATTTAAAAGAATGTCAACTGGTGACAGAAAGAGGAAAGAAGGTAAAATGTCATCTTCTGGTCTGTTTGAGTCCAGCAGGGCTTAGGAAGTGGTGATTAGTCCCCAGCCTGAATAGGATTACTCTACCAAGCTTCCAATCTATTTAAATCTCAGTGATTGACTTGTGTATCAAAGCTACAAAAACAAACCACCTGGTTTCTTTCATTGGAATGTGCCTTATGATTCTAGTTTGGTATAAACATGGGCCAGACTAGCCTGCAGATTACTACTACAGAAGATAGCTGTGGATAGTCTAAGAATTCCGAATGAACTTATAAACTTATGAACTTATAAACAGTAAGGTTTGGATTTTCTTTGGACCCTGCCTTGCTCTGTCCAGTCTAACCACTATTCCGTACTCTGTCAGTAGAAATCTCATAATTACAAAGTTGAAAGTCAGCACTATCTTCCAGCTGCTCAAGTGGATATGCATAAGTGACCAGCTCCTCTGGTGAAGCTGCAAGGAAGAGATTGGAAGGTTTTAGTCATCAAACATTTAACAACTCTGAAGACAAAGCTGCAGCTAACCCTTCGCTATGGTCTTGGTGGGCAACTTCAAAAAGTCTGTGTTCCACTTTCACCTGTGAACACTCCTTCCATGTCCCCTATCCCCACAGATGCTGAAACCTAATGAAAGAATAACATACCTTTAAAAAATATGCCTACTGTAGCTACAAAGCACCAAAACAATAGATTTAAAAAATATGGTTTGTAATATAATTATGAGCTCTTTGGTTTTCCAAAGCCACTATAGACAGCTTTTTTACACTTCAAAAATTAATTATCCTCAGAATTGGAACAATTATGCCCCAAACTGGTCAAACTATTGTTATGGTTTAAGAGGAAAAGTCCATTACAATCTAATGTTCCAGGCTTGTTTCGCTAAACCAGGGACAAGCAAAATGTGATTCAGTGCCGGAGCAGAGCCTGGAGGTTTATGTACGTGATACTAACCCATAGTTTGGGGTTACCACTGACAAGGCCTTTGTGTACACAGAGCAGGACCCCAGTGTGCAGATTAAGTGCTTTAGAGGATGGAACTGATTTGGAGACCTCCATGGCTATATGTAGTTTTTCTCAGCCAAGGCAATCTGGTATACACTCGCTTCCAAGTTACTGCATCACAATTTTATTATGTTTTATTTCAAAATGTACTATACATTTTTTCTTGAGGTGAATAAGTAGTGGTTTTGCTACCTGAGAAAAATAATTTGCTTTTCTAATGCGTCACTCTATATTGTAATATCTACATGTACATGTTGCAGTTTATTAGCAAGTAACTTCCAACTAACCACATTTCATACTTGTTCTAGCTTGAGTTTTGTTTCTACAAATCATTTAACAGAAATATGGGAGTTTGTAAAAAGTGCAGGATGAATGAAAATACTTTATTTTGTAATAGTTCTAAATGTACTAATTAACAATATCTATAATTGGTTTTGAAATAGAATATTGGAATAAATGCATATTTCACATTGGTTTTACTATGAAAATGTTTGTGTAGAAAAGAATCCAACATATTCTTTTATGAATTGTGTTTGCAGGGTGCAGCTTTAATTCGAATGCTCGCTAATTTTATGGGCCACTCAGTGTTTCAGATGGGCCTGCAAGTATGTAGAAAACATTTCTTTTCTTTTCTTGTGTGCTTGTTATTTGTATCTGTGTCAGTGTATTTTACTGCATATATTTTTGCCAATTTAAAAAAATCTCCCCATACTAAACATTCGATTTAAAAGGAAAAGTAACATTAAAGGTCAGATTACTCTGGAAAAACAGGTGGCATGTATAATTTTGAGAGTGTTCAAGGACTGCTCTTATGCAGTCATTTAGCATCCATTATGAAATTTGCAAGATGAAAAAACCTTTAACACCTATAATTAAAGATGAACAATTTAATATGGATGGGCACCTGAGTAATTTTACAGTGAGTCAAAAGAAGGGAATGAAAAATTCTAAGATGGTTTGAGCAATACTTCTAACATATGAGCAAGTTCGCAGAAGAAATGCAGAAGAAAATCCTTTATTCTCTGTATATTCAGATCAAATATTTTTAAGCATGCAAATGCAAACATGGAATTTAATACAAATCATAGTGAAGGAGATGGGAAGTGTTGCCTATGAAAACATATAAAAAGAGCTTTTTTCCAGATGCAGGGAGAAGGCCACAGGAGAATAGAGAATAGTGCCACAAATAATTCCTTTTTTCCTGTTTCATTTGGTAAAGGATCCAGTTATATGTACATGTTATTGTAATTCACTCCTGTTGAAGAATTTGTACCTAGAGATAAACAAGTTGCAGTTTTGTATATTCTTATTGGAATGCTTCCAACCAACATACCAGTATTTTCCCACTCACACAGCATAGAGACTTTTCAGAGATGTGCCTGGCTACCCCAGTGTGGGTTTTTGTGCTGGCAGGCCTACATTTCTGAAGGCTTTTAAAGCCCTCCAGGCAAGTTAGAATTGCTTCCTAAATTATACTTTGAATAGAAGAAGAATGAAATTTTGGCATTATAAATCATAACACTGATTACATATAAATGATGAGAGATTGAATGAAAATTGTTTTCTAATAATAGCTTTTTTTAGTAAAATATAAAATATATAGAAATATTTGACAGAAATACTGGCTTGTTTCATACATTGTAGCAATCTACGATCTGGGTTGTCATTGAACATGGGTTAAGAACCACAGTGGATGCAGTCAAAGATCCATTTGGTTTCAGCATTTGTTTCCACAATGGCCAACCACCTCCTTATTGGAAACCTATAATCAGTATATGAATGCAATGAAGCCCTCTTGTCCACTGGCAAACATAGGCCTAGTGCATCTGAAATTGTAGCTAGCAGGTGGCTAGCAGGACTAGTAGCCATTGACAGCCACCTCATTTGTGGATTGGTCCAACTTCCTTGTGGAAGATGAATTCCATAGTTTTAACTGTGGAGATGAATTCCATAGTTTTTACTATGAACTGCTTTCTTCATATCTGTCCTGAATCTTCTACCATGGCATAACTCCAAGTTCTAGTATTATGAGAAAGGAAGAAAAATATATCTCTATACTACTTTCTTCACACTATGTATGTTTTTGAACACAGTTATCATGTCTCCAAGTACTTGTAGCTTCTTAAAGCTAAACAGCCCCAATTGTTGTAACCTTTCCTTATAAGGGAACTGCTCAAAGCCCTTGATCATTGTTGTTTTCCTTCACTGCACCTCATAGGATTCTTCAATATCCTTTCCACGTTTCGTTACTAGAACTGTACCCAGCATTCTAAGTGTGGTCACACTATAGATTTCTATAAAGAATACGGCATTGGTAGTTTTAGTATCTTTACCTTTCCGATTATACCCAGCATGCAATTTGCCTTTTTCATAACCTTCACACGCTGGATTGACAAGTGTCTGCCACAACCCCAAAATCTCTTTCATAGCCAGTCACCGCTAATTCAAATCCATCAGCTTATACTTGAAGTGGTTGTTGTTTTTCCTTTACTTTAGTGGGCATTCTTTCCGCTTGCTTACATTGAACCAATTTTGCTGTTTTGAAGCCCATTCTTCCAGTTTGGAGAGCTCCTTTTGGACTCCTCACAATTGCTTTTTGGTTTACTGACCCTAAATAATTTGGTGGGATCTGCAAACCTGGCCACTCTACTGCACACTCCTAGTTTCAGTTAATTTAGGAATAAATTGAAATTTATTGAAGTTTCAGACTTGCAGTTGTGATTGCCTCAATGGACAGGCATGAGCTGTCTTTTCTTTGGTAAGGATCTTTGTGCGAAGCCTTTTGGAAGTTCACCGAAATAACGTCTACCAGAATGCTGGTAAAGAATTTTTAAAGAATGCTAAACATTTGGTGATATAGGACTTATATTTACGGAAGCAATTTTAATTTTTTTACAGAACCATTTATACTTCTATATGCTTACTAATTTTATCTTTAATAATGCCTTCAACGCATAACAAACAGTGGCTTAATCATTCTGTAATTTCCAGATCATCCAGAATCACTTTTTACAGACTGGTGTTACATTGGCCATTCCCCAGTGTGAAGTTGATCTTAGGGACACATTACATATTTTTGTTAGAATATCAGATATTTTTTATTTGAGTTCTTTAAGAAGTCTGGGAAGGATCCCATCTGGTCCTGGTGATTTATTAACTCTCCATTTGTCAATAATGTTGAGAATTTCTTTTTTTGTCATCACTCTTTGAGTTCCTTGGATTTACTTCCTAAAAACAACTATTCTTTGCTAGCTCCATTTTCCCTGCTCATTAACCATGTTGGTGACTTATTCAGCTTTACAAAATCTTTTATAACTTGCGGTATTCTAGCTGAGCTTCTATTATTTTGAGTAACCTCCAACATAAACCAACAATTTTGAAGTAATTAACCCTATCAACAACTTTCAACTTCCTTTTTACAAATTACTTCATTTTAGAGATGCCTATTCTTTTGAAGTGAACTTCGACTGTACTGGACTTCTTTGGTGATGTTCACTGAAATATGCATTAAATCTGATAGTAGTGGTTAATGTTTCAAATTGGTTCAACAATTTTCCTACCTTATACCAGGTCCTGGATAATGCCTCTGGTTGGTTGTATGGCCAGTTGTTCTAGAGCATCATCCTGGAGGGCATCAAGAAATTTGGACACTCTTGTCATGACAGGAACATGCATGTATCCAGTCAATGTTGAAGCAATTAAAATCACCAATTACTAAAAGACTTACATGTTGGGAGGTCTCCCTGATTTCATTTTTGTCTCAAGATCATCCAGAGAATTTTGTTCTGGGGAATGCTCAAATGTGCATTCTTTGAAGTACAGAGCAACTTCTTCTCCAGTATGGCTTTCACTGTCCTTCCTGGAGTGTCTATATCAAGAGCTAGATGTATCATGCTGGCCTTTCCTTTCCTTTCCTTTCCTTTCCTTTCCTTTCCTTTCCTTTCCTTTCCTTTATTCCATCTGTAATTCCCTCTATATTTAGCTTATTCTTTAAAAGCAGACATTACATTTCTCCCATTTTATCCTAAACAATTCTAGCATCTGCACAGAAACCACTATACGCTATGTCTCTCCTTAGATGTCTCAGGTATTTAGGCCTCTTTGGCTGGCTGTCCGGGTTCACTGTATATTTATGGCCAAACTCCTTAAATTGTACATTTCAGCAATTGGTTGTCACTGAATTATAATTTGTCATTATATATGAACAATTTGCTATGCTTATCTATGGGCTATTAACCAGCATCAACTGGTTAGAATTCATGATTTCTTAAATGGTTGGTAACTGGACTGTTTGTGGTTAACAACCCATAGTTAACCACAAAGTATAGTGATAGCATGTAACAATAATCCATGATTCAAAGAACCCATAGTCAACCTGTACACTGGGCTCTTGTGAGACATGATGCAGCAGTGGTATCATCACAAGATAAGGCTTATGGGTTCCAGTAGGTCATTGACACTGCTTTCTGAGCCACTATTTTACATCTGATTCTTATTTGTGGAGCTCAGGGTTCTAGCAAAAACAAATTCTGTTAGCTTGAAGTCTTGTGCAGCATATAATTTTGAATATAAATTCCACAAATAATGATCTTTTAAAAGAATTTTGTCTGTTCCGGAAACATTTGCTCTATTTTACCAAGTATGTAAAAATTCAGATAGATTTTCTTTTTTAAAAATTAAAGATGATCAGATCCTTGCCAAACTCCCTCACACTTTCTCTTTGAAAGTGTTTTATTATTGATAAGAACTACTTTTCCCTCAAATCAAAACTCATGTGCTGATTTCTTCTTCCTTGTCTTAATGATGTGTTTTGAAAAGTCATGCTGTATTTTAAAAATGCTTAAGAACCAGTACAGCTGGATGAAAAGTAAGAAATTTTGAATGCAGAGTAATTTATTTTGCTCTTTGCTAGGGATAAACTCTTTTCAGCAATAATTCCAAGTAAATTAATGTTTCTAAAACAATTTGAAAGCATACAAACAAAAGCAGAAAAACAATGCAACACCCTTTATTCCTTTGAAATCTGTTTAAGGAAGTCATGTAACAGGCAGCTGTGATGGATGAATTATGTATGATGCCGTCTGTTACTTAGAGGTGTCCTTTAAAGTAAATTGATGTTCACCTGAAATACAATTATGCTAAGATGGAAAGAGCAATCAATCTTATCTGTTCTTAGTAAGATTTTCAATCTGAAATTTAAGTAAACTACATCTGGGATCAGGTCATATTTTAGCATAGTAATTCTATCTTTAGCCCTGTAGACTAGAAGGTAAAATATAAAACAAAACTTAAATAAACATAGTGTGTGTGCCATATAAAGATGTATTAGTTATGACAGTGACAGGAACTGATGTTGGGGAACTGTTTTCTTCCAGAACTTCAGCAGGATTTTGATTGATTCTGTTTGGAAACAGACTTGTATTTGAATCACTCTAAAAAAATCGCCAGTTAACTTCCAGTGTTTGTAATATACCTCCTTTACAGCCTTATTTCCTATTTATGATTTACTGATAGAAAATATTCCCACCAGAATCTGTGTGCAGAAACTTAGAATTGGATTTAACACAATGCCCAGCTTATGACAATCAAGTTTACCCGTAATTGT